CCCCCCCCCCCCCCCAACCTGACCCACCTGGCTCGTTGACTGGTGCCTCCTGAGTTTGGGGGGGTACCCAGGGTCCCCCCACAGCTGCCACCACTGAAAACTGCCACCACTGGTGGTAGCTGAGCCGGAGGGGCCCCCCCAGTGCACTCCCCAGTGGACCTGGAAGTAAGTCCGGTCCACTTCCACGTTCACTGCTGAGCACGTGGGGGGACATTTCCCCCCACCCCGTGGAATGCTCCATCTGTCCCCAAGGTATGTAGAGAAAACATTTAAAGCTGTGTCTATGGCCGAATTGCTGATTCTCCAAATCGGCATCAAATCTTCAGATTTGGATTCGACCGAATTGAATCTGGGACTGTGATCTAAATCAACGAATTGAATCTCTGCCTCCGATTTGGGCCGAATCCGAATCAAATATGGCCTGCTTCTCACACCCCTAATAGCTGGCAATGTAACTTAGGCAGGATTGTATAAGTTACCTGCTTTTGGTTAAGCCCATTGAAGCTTCTTCTGAGTCCCCTAGGCCTTAGGTTTTAATAGACAATCCTAACATTTTGGCAGATCATTCCAGTAACCTGTCTTAAGCTTTAAAATTATGAACACATGTAATTACAAAGCACCTATGCAAAGCAGGTATGATAGAAATATTGATAAGGGAGACTGCCTGAGATGAAGAATTAAAAATAACATTTCCCTTGGATTTTTTTTTGGACACAGCAGTTAATGACACCGCTAACTTCCAGTGTCACAGTTCTATTTCAGACTTTATTTTCTTTGTAGCCTCCTCCTCAGATCTATGATGCACAATTAGAAGAAAGAGAACATGCCATTGAAGAATGGAAAGGTAACAGTCAAACGTGATCACATTCTAGCTTTGGTAATAATTTGTCAACCTTTAGCACTAAAGTAACAGAACTGCTCCACTGGTCAGCTGACGGGAACCCATCAATGAATTAGGCTGGCTATAGCAATACAAAAATTAATTCGCAAGAAATAATAAATCTAGTTCTGTTAAATTAATTCTAGATTTTTTTTAATACTTGTGTAAAAAAAAATAAATTCTAAAGCAACTTCTATTAATAGAAATGAATTAATTTGAACAAAAAGTTAAAAAAAAATGTGATGCTGGTATCAGTTGTACCTTACTTATTCTTAACTGTCCCACCTACTAAATGAGGTCCTGTAAATTCAGTCCCATGCACCAGTAGAGGCTGGGGACTGACTAGCTAAGCATCAGCTGTGCAGAAAAGGATCTGGGGGTGACAGTGGACAATAAGCTGAATATGAGCCAACAGTGTGCCCTTGTGAAGAAGGCTAATGGCATCCTGGGCTGCATTGGTAGGATTGGTGCCAGCAGATCAAGGGCAGTGATTCTCCCCCTCTATTCAGCACTGGTGAGGCCACATCTGTAGTTTTCTGTCCAGTTTTCTCCCCGCCACTACAGAAAAGATATGGACAAATTGGAGAGAGTCCAGCGGAGGGCAGTGAAAATGGTTTGGGGGCTGGGACACATGACTTGTGAGGAGAGGCTGAGGGAACTGGACTTGTTTAGTTTAGAGAAGAGAAGACCAAGGGGGATTGAATAGCAGACTTCAGCTCCCAGCAGGGTGGTCCAAAGAGGATGGAGCTGGACTGTTTTCAGTGGTGGCAGATGACAGAACAAGGAGCAGTGGGCTCGAGCTGCAGCAAGGGAGGTTTAGGTTAGATATTAGGAAGAATTATCTCACTAGGAGGGTGGTGAAGCAGTGAAACAGGTGACCCTGAGAGTTGTAGAATCTCCATCTTGGCAGGTTTTTAAGACCCAGCTAAACAAAGCCTCGGTAGGGATGATAAAGTTGGACAAGATGACCTCCTGGGGTCCCTTCCCGCCCTAATTTGTCTATGATTTCTATGATTCTAAATGATGGGCACAAAAGCCATAATAAATAAGGCACAATTGAGCACTAGTTAGGTATCAGTTGTGCCTTATTTCTGGGATGGCTGAAACTGCTTTTTTGTAACTTTCCCTCTTTACCATTTTTCTTAAGAATTAATATACAAAGAAGTAATGGATTGGGAAGAAAGAAGCAAGAATGGTGTGGTAAAAGATCAGCCCTCAGGTTAGTCATTGGTTTAATAGTTTACCTTTATCTGAAAGTCTGATACATATGGGTCAATTCTGCTCAGACTCAAACATCCAATTATACCAAAACTCTCATTTTTTTTTAAGGCTCTTGGTCCTGATCAGTCTCACAGTTACATGAGGAGTCAGTTTACCTTGCTGTGAAATGCGCTACCAGGAGTATGTTCTCTACCTTCTGCAGGAAGTAAAAGATGAATTTGAGTTTAAAGGCAGATGAGTCATATATGATGAGTCTATGCCACAGAGCTGCAAAGTGTATAAGGCTCCTCTGAACATAAATTGAACTGTCAGATGAGATAAATGGATGCCTGTTATACTTGGGTCCTTGTCCTGAAGTAGTCCTGCATTAAGTTTTCTTCCACGTGAGTTTTAAATTCTGTTGGACTTGTTCTCAAAATACTTGGGAAACTCTCTGTCCCTATGAGTCTATGGCATGGTTCTCTTGGTCTAATCTTGAAAATATTGTACTGTCAGTTATGGAATATATCCACTAGCTCTTTGGCATTCAGGTTGTTATTACTTAGGTAAAGCAAGCTTACATTTATTATTCCTTTGGAAGGAGAAATGGGAATTTCTAACACTCCTCTCTAGTTTAAGCCTTGTACATACATACATACTGATTTGGAAAAGAAAAGAACACCATGTCTTCAATGTCACACAGTCTTCTGGGATTGTTAGATTTGCCTTTTAGCAAGTCAGTCTTGTGAGGTTTGATTTTAACCCCAGATGATCTAAGTCCTGATACATTGTAGATGTGGAACTGTAATTTGTGAGTAAAACTTCAAATTTTACAAAGTAATAATTCTGGTAAATAAAAGGCAAGTGCAGCCTATTATATGCAGTTCACATTATATCCAGTAATAATTTTTGTAAAAAGTGATGCTATAATTATTCCTGTAAGGTTCATCTTTTGTAACTATACAAAAGTATTTTTGCATCTGCTGCAGCTGCTGATTCTGGCTTCTCCTAAAGTGGCAGTCATATTTCAGTAATACATTAGCATATCTGTACTTCTCAGGTACAGTGGCCTTTTGTGATTTTTGTAATGGAAAGATATCTAGTTTGGGCAGTGATGTTTCAAGCTTCTCATCTTCAAATTTGACTCATTTTTTTAAACAACTGGTTAGTTTCAGTGTCTTTGTTGAAAAACAGTTTCATTTCATCTTTCATTCTGGTTTGGAAAGATGTTTGTTCATCTTACTTTCTTTACTTCAGTTGGATAGACTAAATTTTAAAGTTATGTTTGAATTCACAAGCTAAATATTATGGTTTTCATGAGAGATTTGAAAGTCTTTCTTCTTGGAGAATTGCTCTTGCTTTTTATGGTAGATATACACATGGAAATGTTTCAAGTTACCCTCTCTAAAGATGCACCTTTTGGTGTCTTTGGCGGAGTACAGGCATTTGGGAGGCTAAATTGGGTTTCAAATGGCTGCCCGATATCAGGTAAGTCAGGATGGGGGGAGCTAGCTGAGGGGTTGGGGATCCAGCAGGATGGAGGGGATTAGGGGTGTCCACCAGTGGATGGGGGGTAAACGCGACCTGCTGGTGGGGTAGGGGGACGTGTGTGACCCAGTAGGGGTAGGGGGAGCAGTATTTATATTTATGAAATATATATTCCATCCTTTTGGACCCCCAACCCCGCAGCTGGCCCTCCCCATCCTGATTTACCTGATATTGGGCAGCCATTTTAAATCGATTTAACCTCCCCCTAACGCCCCTGAATGTCTGTACTTAGCCTTTATGTTTAAGGAGTTACAGGGGTGTAAAACACCTTATCCCCAAACTGCTAGCTGAAAAGAAACTGCTGGGTCAGTTGGAAAAAATCCACAGCGCTGCTGCTGCTTTCAGTTGTGAGCAAGGGAAATTATCGTATATTGTGAAAAATAACTTTTTATGTTTGGCAAGATAGCGTTCTGGAGAAATTTGCAGACTGCTCTGCAGAGATCTGGCAGCCTGCAGCCGACAGCACAGTAACTCAGGATATCCTGTTCCAGTGTTTAGGTGTAGCCACTTTTCAGTTTTACCGTGTACTTGACCTAAAGCAGGACTTGAAAAATGTGATACCTTTTTTCCATGACATTTTATAATTGTTCTGATTGTGCTCTATAGCTGTGTACCTGTCTGTTGGCATAACTGTGGGGTAGACCAAACATATAATAAAGTAATGCAATATAGAAGAAACATTATCAGTTCAGATACTGCCAAAATTATAAACACACTCCTTCACAGTATAGAAATGTTGTTTGCTATCAGTAAGAGAAAAAAGAAAGCTATTTTTTAGTCTCTCGGGCTGCTTACTCATTCAGTACATTTTGGAGACGCAGCCATCTAAGAAACTTTTCTCAGCCCATATATCTTAACACAATGTACAGAATGGTATTTGCGCAGTTTCACGCTGGATAAAGTAAGACTAAAAAAATCCTTCAAGCTAAAATCGTAAGTCAGAATCGTCTTGTTGAGCAGAAGGCTGTAGCTGTCATTACAGTGTAGTTACTTCATTTGGGAAACACTATGCAGGTGCTCCTGAACTCTCCAAACCTTGATCCAAGTTGCAGATTTGACATGGGATGCCCTGAACAGCAAACAAAAAATCAAAAAGCGGTTAGAAAACCAAAAGGTTACTTCAGAGAGAAACCTCTAGTATTAACTTTTTATCACAATATGGTTATGCTGCGAGTTGGGTGGAAAGCTAACAAGAATAGTAGTTCTCCCGGAAATCATTACTGGTTGATTACCTGTTTGTTTTGAATATTCCTGCGCTCCATATATAATAACCCCGTGTAAATTGGTGCATTTTTTAACTTCTTTTTATTCCAGCTGACACAAAACTTTTAACTTCTTCAGTGTGCTGAAAATTAATCTAACCAGGTTGGCTACTGAAAGCAATAAAGCCAGATTTGGCTCAATCCTTCACTTAGACTAATTCATTCCCTTGACATACCCACATGCTATTCGGGAACTTGAGGAGATTTCCTTCTGGGTTTTTAGCACCTGATATGTTTTTCTGAAGGAAAGTGCTCTGAGAATCTCAACCAAATCAAACAACTCCCCCCCCGCCCCCTAATTTTTAGATTTTGGATCTTTTTTGTTGTTTAACTTAATTTTCAGCTGAATCCAAGCTGCTTCATTTTAAAACTTTCAACCCTGATCCCAAGGAGCTTTATGCATTAAGGACCCTGAAGTGCACTGCTTGCTGATGAGCAGGGATTCTGGTTTTGTATGATTTAAACCTCCTACCCCCGAGTTTCAGTTAAAGTAATCCCAAATCCACATTTTTCCATGATTAAAATGAAACACCACTACCTCTACATATTAGTGGTGTTGCAATTAAATCACAGAAAAATGCAGAGTTGGGGTTACTTTTTTTAACTGAAAACGGGTTTGTTTGTTTTTTTAATCGGAGAAAACCAGGATCCCTACTGATGAGGTACACGTAGTGGGGACCAGGGCACTGGTTGCATACCCGGCTGGAAGCATTAAAAAGGGCAAGCGGACAGAGAGTAGGGGGCAGAAAGAGATTGTGGAAGCTGGAAAGTCTTGACAGCATGAGATGAGAAGAAGACAGCTTGATGGGAAAAGGACCATTTTTTTTTATTTGGTTGACTTCCAGTACTGAGGAGGGCTTTGAAAAAAGGACTTGTTTGGGACTTGGAAAGAAGTGTGGCTGTGGCCCATGTGAGACCAGCTGGCAGGGGGCATCACCAGCTCACAGTCCAAGATTGCTGTCTCTGTTTTCCCTTCTTCATCTGTTGCATTTTTTGCTAAATTTCACTACATGGCCCCATCCTCTAAGAGAATTAAACAAAATAAATCCGTCAGTATAGCGAGTCAGTACTTCACTGGACTCAGTAGTCCCTTTTGAGGATTACCATGTTAATCTCCTGAAGCCTGGCTAAAATGGAGAGGGCAATTCTAATTGTGAAGTGGGTTCTCTTTTCTCCTGTAAAACCTACTTCAGTCTCCCTCCAGGTTGTTTCCTATATGATTTCTAATCCTAATTGGGCGATTATTGCCAGTGCCATTCCTTCCCTGTGGGTTATTGTTGGCTGTGTCCCTCCTGTGCCTCTGAACCCTGATGCCCTCCCATGTCTTTCCTGTGTGCTAGGCCATCTGGACTGAGCTGCATGCCATTGCTTGGACAGTTGTGGAATAGAAGCTGAGCATTACATTTTGAATAATTCATTCTCTTTAAAGTGCCAAGTCTTAGTGACCTAGGCAGCAGCACTCCACACTGACGCAGCTGCCATGCTCTTTTACATGTGTCTGTGAAAATGAATGATCCACGCCGTTCTGAGAGGTGTTTGATACCTATTGCATGCTTTGACTGTTTGGACTGGCAGTAAATTTTCCAGTGAAGTTGATTTGACGTGTTACTGTTAACAGGTGGAGATCTTCTCATCTTGTCAATGGGATAAAGTGACAGAAATTATTCAAAACTTACAAAATGACAAAATGAAATGTCAGAAGGGCGTGGAAGAATGTCTCCTACTGCTTAGACACTACCTCTGCTTATTAGAAATGTTTCTGTACTATAGATGCATGCTTGTTTACTCCTTTTTAGGTCTGTTAAAAATGTTTACCTGTTGGTATTTTCTTGTTAAAGGTACACATTAGAAGGAGTCCATTTGGAGAGAAATTGCACATAATTTGCATGCGTTTTGCACAGAAAAGACTGTTTTAAAATTTTAATCAATTTTGATAATCCTGTAACTAATACAGCAGTAAGGTACTGCATGCTGTGGGGAAAAGTGATACTAAGAATCCTAAAATATCATTGCTTATATTTGCAATATTGTCTTGCCTCAGATTTTATTATGCTTGGTTTACTTAGCACAGATGCAGCAGTGAATAGCAACACCAGTCCTTCCCAGTCATCATCTATCAATGACATTTCATCCATGTCAACAGAGCAAACGTTGGCTTCAGATACAGACAGCAGCCTCGATGCCTTGACAGGACCCATTGAAGGATGTCGATGATCAGCCAGGATTGCAGACTTGCGATTGGAAAAGAACTCTTGCTTCCATTGGGCCTGAATTGCTTGTAAGTTAATGGAACCAAGTAGAGAAACTCCATGTTCTGCATGTTCCACTGAAGTCATGCCTGTGTTTTTACTCAGCTGTTATAAGGCTGCCTGCTTAATGTTGTAGAATGAAAAGAAATTGATATCTAAAGAAGAAAAAAATTACAAGTTAAACACTACAATAGGCGTTTTTGTTTCAGCCTATTTCAGGTGAGCAGTTACAGTAGATTCATACCAGATAAACTCCTCCTAAATGAGTTCATGGATCTTCTGTCCCATTCAGTAGACTTCTGTAACACACAAATTGTTCATTAGTAGGTCTTTTGAATGCGTATGCTCTGTATAATTTGCTTAAATGTGTGACTACAGAAATTTGTTCTATTTAACTACCAGTATGTTATATGTATGAGGGTTATCTTACCTATTGAACATTTGAAGTACTGTATTCAAAGGCAATTTTTCTTCCATTGTAGCACTTTTTTTTTTTTTACTATTGAGCCCTTTCCCTCCTTTCTGTCCTCATCTCCCGATACTTCTATGCATCTTCTTCTAGAAGAGACAAAATAGTGATCTTTAAAGAAAAAAACCCATCATTTTTGTATTTTACATGTGAATATGACTGATTTTTTGAATGTCTTTCAATTATTTAAATTTTAGTTAGAAATAATATGGGTTAACTTGACCTTGAGGAAGGAGTTGTTTTTTTCTTGAATGACTACTCCCTGGTATATCTGTGAAGCAATGTCTCTTTTTAAAGGAAAAGGTACTGATTTTTTTTTTTTTATTTTGTTTTCTGGTTTATACGTTATTTTGGTTCTTTCTTTTAATTGGTAAAAACTTTTGGAAATGATATATTCGTTACTTTTCCTTTAAAGAACAAAGGGACACGGTGATACTTTTCATTTAGTTCCTCCCTTTGTCTCAGAACAAATTCAGAGACAGTAGAGAAATTTGAAGTTTGTGACCTCAAGAATTACATGGATTTTTTTCCCCACTTTTTCTGGGACCATTCTATAGTGTATATATTTTTAAAATATGATAGTCCTTTTGACTGATTTGATGGGGTTTGTTATGTTTATTTCCATAAGCCTAATCTCCATTTCAAGATTAAACATAATTCTGGATCTTCAATTAAAATGAAATATTTATGCTGAAGCTTTTTTTTTTTTTTGATGTGGCATCATGGGAGAAGGAGGAGTTTTAATACAGGCTTATCCAGGCCATTTTCAGATTAAGGTAACACAGACATTGCCTTCTGCGTTGCACTATCTTGACTTATTAGAAAATATATGCAGTAGAGTAGTGGCTTAAGTTATAGAATATTATACAATTGTGCATTTGCAAACACAGAAATGCATGTTTGCTTTAGAGTGCACAAGTGTAAAAAATGCTTAGCTAACGATTCTTTCTGTGTGCATGTATGTGAAGTAAAACTTTGTAATAGTAAGAAAAATGTCCAATATGAGGCGAAGCATATCATTTTCATAAATACAGATACTGAAGATTTGATTATATAAAAAGAACATGTACAATTTGTTCGCTAAACTAACAAAATATACTGTGACTGAACTGAATCGTCCAGTACACAGTTGGGAAGAGAGAGAGAAATATATATCATTTGCAGACTTATCTGAAAATCAGATTTTTTCCCAATATTTGAATGGTTTTGCATTAAGAATATACACTGGAAAGTTTTCAAGTAATTTAATTTACAATAGTAAAATGTTAGGGGTCTAGAGTATGACCTATCAAAATAGAAAAACTGGGTAGAAACGCCTCTGTATGAATTCAGATCAGGCATCTTGGGTATTGTTTTTTTCTTAAGTATAAGCGCTGGGTTTAATTTTAGTTTTGTATTTTTTTTTAATTGAAAAATACGGACAAATTTTGTATGCAAGACCAGACCCCCAATATAAACAGAAGTCTATCTAATATTTTTTGTCATTGGAGCAAACCTTTGGTAAAAATGCTTTTTTTTTTTTTTTCTTCCCTCCCTCCACTGCACAATTCGGTGTTTTCTCTATCCGTTGAGTACTAGCTCATTCAAATACCAAGGTGTCTAGCATATAGAATGTGCTCTAGTAATATCAGATTATCTTACTTTCTTCCATCCTGTTCAGATCTTGCTAAAAAGTACATTGACATTGAAAAATGCCTCTCACTCTTTTGACAACAAGTGTTATCTCATTCCAGAGATACCTACGCTTCACTGACTTCACATTGGGTTCAGTTGTCTGGACCAAGATTTTAAAAAAGTGACTGGTTGTTTTTTGGTGTGAAGCATGAAACATTGATAAATGGCCTGATTTTTTTTCTTTTCCTGAGGGTAGGTCCTCAGCGCTGTCTGAAAATCTCGTCCTTTTGAGATGTCTCAAGTTGGGTACCCAAAACCATTAATTGCTTTTGAAAATGTTGTCTTTAGTATTTGCAAATAATTACTTTCTTATTGAGCCTGAGACTTAAGGGCCTAAAATCTCTAAAGCAGCGTACTGAATCTGCTGCAGCAACCAGCGCATGGCAAATGTACTCAAGAAAGGTATCTTGGTAATAAGAAAATGATTTGTTAATAGTTTCCCAGTCTTGTTTTAGGCCTGTTTGTACAATTTCTCACTGACCATTTTATAATCTGTGATTCGCTTGTGGGAGTGGCCTACTGGATATGTCCATTTCAAGATGATACCAAAATCAGCTTGGTTTTCCAGTCTGTTATGTAAGACCTGCTTGGGCTACCTCTGGTGTAACTTATTCTAGAGCAGCTTGGCCTGTAACAGGTGCTCAGTTCTGGCCTGCAGGCCAGATTCAGCATCTGGTGCCGTATCATCCAGCCTGCAGGATTCCCAATGGATCCTTGAGGAGACCCATGGACTGGACTGTGGCCCTGCATGCTAGATTGGGCACGTAGGGCAGCACGGGATCTAATCTTGATGCCACAGGTCCAATCCCAGCAAGTAGGAGCAGTGCGGGCCCCAGGGTCTGATCCTGCCATGTGGGAGCAGTCTGGGGCCTTGGGGCCTGATCCCAGCACATAAAGTATGACCTGGCCCATGGATTGGCTGCATACTACTCATGGGGCCAAAAGGTTTAGTGCCCTTAGCCTACAAGGTTTGGTCTGTTCTGTATACCTTGAATGAACCCCCATTTAGAGTGGGGGTTCATACTGGATTCAACTCATAGTTGTTATAATTTAAAAAAAAATCCATCATTTGAGTCAGTAATGGAGCTTTTTTACTTCGCCTCATTTTGAAAATGTACTCTTAATCTAAAATTCTGCTTTTGATTCTGTCTGCCATTTCCCATAATCCTCATTATAGTAAAAGATGGATCATATTTAACACTAATTTTCATTGTTCTTTGCTTATGGTATAATTGGAATCTTCAGTTGTGACTGGGGACAATAACTTTCTTGATGAGATGCATAAGTTTTAACGTCTGCATATTGTAAATTGGAGTAGAATATGGAAGGAAACAGTTGTTTGTAAATTGAACCATAGCTTAAGGAAACCCTATGTCAGATATGCACTTGCAGTAACAAAAATGCATATAGGACAGCACCTCTAGCCCTGTGTGCATCTGCACACATACATAGAGAATGTGCATGTAGAACATATACTCTGCAAGCAGATTTTATACATATGTGTTGTCCCGACTCTGATAATTAAACTCAGTATCTAGTTTTGAATCTGATTCACTGACGTACAAGAACCTGATCATCACTGATGGAAACCAATAGTCACATGTGTAATCTTGTAAAAGGTTTAAAAGGTTAGAAATGTTGTCCATAATCTTTGCAGTATGATAATGTTTCTTTCTTATATAAATCAGGTATATATGAGTGATGCGGTCGAGCATTTTTGTGCACTTTGGCATTTATGAATATTAATATTTTTTAAAATACCTATGAGTGTGCATGTGTGTATGTAAAAACTACCCAATTGATTCTGTAAACAGGAATGTTGCTTTTCTGTATGACAAACTTTTCATATAATGTTAATAATGCTGTAGCTCGCACACATTCAGAATCATGGAATATTGACTTAAATATAATTGGTGGTCAATAAACTGTGACAATTTAGGTATCTAACTGCTCACCTGAAAAAAGAAGAGGGATATTTGGCTAATAATGTTCATATTATATACTATAAACATCATTTTAAATATGTAAACACTGAGTAGCTGAATGGCATTGCAGAAATGGAGTGTGTTTAAAAAGTTGTCATTTCATCTTTGCTCATATCATTGTTCCTCAAAAATGACTAAACAGAAGCCAAGTGTTTTGAGAGCTGAATGGACAGTGTCTAGAATGCACTTTGAGGAAATACTCTGATATGAAAGGTTTTGTTGTTTTTTTATAAACTATGTCAAAATAAGGCTTTGTCTGCACAGATCACACAAAATAGACCAGTCTAACTACTGGAAACCGAAATTTGCAAGCAGCCTTTGAAGTTCGTTGCATCTTGCTTCTGGTAAGGATTTAAATTTCTTTATCAAGCAATACAAAATGAATTCAAATTCAACTAGAATCAGACACTAGTTTGTTGCCAAGACGCAAAAACCTGTTAGGGACCAGAATATTCTTTTGTTTTGTTATTTTTTTTTTTAATCCTTACAGAATGTCTGTTTATTCAAAATTATGTAACAGAGTATGATCCCTCCTTCAATTTCTGTTCCAAAGGAAAGACTTCAGATGACCTTCTGCTAAAGATTAAACCCGTTTCCTTTTTGGATCTGGGTTCATAGAATTTTTAGCATGAGCTTATTTTAGGAATAGGATGAGGTTTAGAAGTTCAAATTAAATAGGTCTCCAGGAATAGAGTTGAGGGGCTCATCTCAATGTGAGAGAAATGCACTGCTCTGATTTGGCATGCATTATAAACTCTGGGAAAAATTCCTCAGGTGTTCAAGTGCAGACAAATCTTTACTGAACATAATGCCATGGTGGAATATAGGTTCAGTCTTGCAGCAATACAGTTAGTGTGAGGTGTTTCATTTTGGTTGTGAAACTTAGGATGGAAATACTTTAAGTGAAGAAACACTGAGCAGCCTTTGTCTGTAAATTCTACACGTATGTAATATGGATTCTATCAGGGCTTGATGCTAAACATAGTGATACTATGTACTTGGAGCCAAATTTTTTCCTGACATGCATACGCTGTGGCTTTCATTTGAAGATAATGCATTGTGCACACCTGTATCCAAGTGCAAAATTTGGACTTCAGTTAAGTTCTCATAGCTGAATTCCTGATTTTAGAAATTTCATTTTTTTTCACCATGAACATCCGTCAGTTCATTTTAACATTGAGGTAGGGCAGAAATAAACATATTCAGGCTCATTATCTTAAATGTGTATTATTTTAGATTGTCCATCACATGATGAGTAGAACTGTTTTAAGTAAACTTTAATAACACAGAACTGTTAACTCACTTTGCACGCTAAAAACATCAGGAGCTAAGCAATGTTAGCATTTTTAAGCAAGCCATCTTTTCTCTTAATATTTGCATTTGAGAAAAGCGGAAGTGCAACAACCCCCCATTTCACGTGTGTTCTAAAAAATGATCACATTTATTTTTGTAGCTAAAATTCTGGTTGTGGATTTTGACCCCACAAACTTCCTGTGTGGACATAGAAATATATCTGGGTCTAGTATTTCAATCAGTATATGTATTAAAAAAAGATTAGGTATAAAGTTAAAACAATAAAATGCACTCTTTGGAGCTTTGTTACCAAAAACTTGGCAAAGTATTTTGGTCCTAAAAGCAGAATATAGAAAATGCATTTAATATTTAAGTTTTTACTCTTTTATGCTGCTGCTTAATTTTTGATAAGGTGCTTGCAATTTTGCACAATAAAATAATAAATTCTTTTAATTGCTGTTTTGAAGCACTTTAGGATTCTTCTAAACACAACCATGACGTTCTGTTTTTACATTGTTTTACATACTAAAGTTGTTTAACGTGTTTTAAATCTTAATGTTTGTGACCCTACAATTAAGATTGAATCAGCATGTCACACTTTATATATAAAAATATTTTCAGAGATTTAAATTTTTGGACGTTTTAAGGGCTAAAACTTAATATGCTTTCAGATGACAGTTGGGAAGCACCTTTGCCCTAAATATGTCTAAAATGGTTAGATTAGCAGTGTGTTTGCTTGTATAGATTGTAGAGTTGCTTGGTTCTAATATCAGGATCAGTGAAAAACACCAGGTCCTTTTATTGAAACCAGAATTTGTTATTAATCCATAACTGTTCTTCAGAAGTTAGTTCTTGCTATTTAGTATTTAAATTATGCGCATGCTCAGACCCCCCCGCCAGTATTGGGGTTTCATATGAGAGCTAATGCTCAGACACCCCCGCCAGTATTGGGGTTTCATATGAGAGCTGCTCTACAAACACATGTTAACAAGTCAGTTCCTGCTCCATAGAGATTAATTAGTCTTCAAGCCCTGATTCTTCCAGTGGGCTATTCTCGCGCACGCGTGTGTGTTTACAGGATCAGGTCCTTAATACAGCACTTCATCTTCTGTAATGTAACAAAAGCAGGGAACAATTTGATCAAACCAGAGCCTTATTTTCTGTTCAAACATAGCCTGCTCAAGGCAGGCTAACTGAAACATTGATGCTTTGCATTTTTTTGAATAATGACACTGACTAGTAACACTGTACCACATTCACTGCTGTCTTCTAAGAAATAATTGGTAATTTAAAAAAAAACGAGTGCACAATTTTTTAATGAATTTCAGATGCTTAGATCGGTGCTAATTTTTTAAAGGAAAATTGGAAGGCGATTAGCAATATGGTTGTCAATTTTGATATGTATATTTTTTTAAATGGCTGGCAGCTTAAACTTTGTAAGATGGCTGATGTGCATTTTCAGGGTTTTCAAACAAAAATCCATATAAATTCTTACAGTATGCTTAAAATTTCCATGGTAGGTTACTGCTTCTTTGGAGCCATTAGTTTATTGGGTAAATAAAACCCCTTTAAAAAGTCCCCCAAGAACCTAGCAATACATAACATTTTTTTTCTTTGAAAGGCCAACATTACATTACATGATGGTAGATCTGCCAATCTCATGTAAGTGAGATGTTTAAATAAATAACATACACTTACCACAATATGGTTTGCTGTATACAGCAAACCCTTTCTGGTCTATAGGATAAATATTAAGGATTTTACAGGCTTCCTAGAAATAATTTTTGTTCAGGAAAGCAAAGATATCAGTTAAATATAATATAGTGACTAAATGGTTTTTAACACAAACCATTGAGTCCGGAGAAATTCATTTATCATAATGTTTTTCTGTAAGTTGTGCCATTATAGAAAATGACAGATACTCCTCAACATGAGTTGATGGTGAAACATCCGCCTTAACAGAATTTCATGGATTTTCCTAGTTTGTCGGAACTTTTTTTTTTTAATTTTGAGTTTTGCTTAATTTGAGTAGGTGTAATTTTCATGAGACTGCTCTCTGTCAGGTGTTTAATGTGTAGATGTTTTAACTTTGCCTAATCATATTTTAAAACCTCTTAAATTCTTTAGGATTTTTTTTCCAAAAGCTTTCATTTTTTTTTTTTAAGTGTTCACTTCCTCCAAAGTGTGTTTTATGCCCTTCCCATCATTTGTGTTTACCAAATATCACAAAAAATAGCATCAAGCCCTAACACATTGTTGTTCAGAGTTTATGGCCTTTAATTTAATTACAATATGGTATGTGATTTCAGAAGAAATGTGTTTTGAAGTCTGACTATATAGATACATAAAGTGGCCTATTTTGCCTACTAAACTAGGCTTTGATTGCCATATTTCATTCTTGATGCTTGTGCAATAGGAAAATGTTCCGTGTAATGGCAGTGGCTATTTTGTCTGATGCTGGACTTTGATTTCAAGAAGATTAGAAGGCTTGTATCTTTTTTACAGACGGGAGTCATGCTTTCTTGTTCTCCAGCTGGTTCAAGGAAGCTAGAATTCAAGGAAGGATTTTCATAAGGAATGTTGTCAATAGCTAACTCTGAAGTGCTAGCTATATCTTCAACTAAAATTTGGTTTTCTAAGTTTCTTTTCTTTCCAGAAGTCTTATCTTAAACCATCTTAAAGCCACTGTAAAATTTCAAATAAATATGTGAACTTACAGTATGCGAGAAGTCTGTTTCATTTACTCAAAGTGACATCTTTGTCTAATGCTTTCCATCTTCGACACCCCAACATAAATGTGCAGCCTCAGAGTAAAAGAGTATGCACATCCAGTGATACTGAATCATAAGGTGTTTTAGCTCTCAGTTAGCTAGTAGTCACAAACCCTCAAAAGGGAAATTAATAGTGTGAGACCAAAGTGAAAGAGATTTTTAAAAGAAATTCCTCATACACACCTTTTTCTGATCAGCTGGAGCACCATGACACAACAGCAGCCAGTGGTGCTGCCAGCGACTAGAGCATGCGTGCTGAATTTTTGTTTTTTCAATAGAGGGAAGCGTGCAGTGCCCTGTTCATTGGGCACGACTGAGAGCACTAACTTCTCATGTTTGGACTGGATTGGACAGCATATTTTGTGCTCATGGAAAAGGGCCTGCAGTGCTTTTGATTCACTGAGTGAAGTTCTGAGTATAGAGGGAGATACGTGAATTGAGCAAAGCGGGCCCTAGCCATCATGGAGAGTGAAGCGGAGCTTTTGAAGAAGTTCTGCACTGGCAGCTTACACCTGATCTCAGCTGGATTGTCCAAGAAGAAAGAGCACCATCTACCTGAAATTGTCCCAGTTTACAGAGCCCATCCAGCTGACAATTTGTGACCTTCGCTTTCAAAGAAAAATCTTGTTTGTTGGTTTATTTAAAAGTATTTTGATTGTCACAGCCTCTCCATTATGCCCTGTGAAGAGTGGTGACAGCCCACACCCCATGGCATTCAGTGCATATAATAACACATCTCCTAGACTGAGGCAGCAGATGAATGATGCAGTGACTCAATCTATTTGCACTTCTACCAAACATCTTATACGTGTTAAAAATAAAATTTGATCTAATACATGAACAAGTAAAGGAAGATCTTGTGTTTTGTTTGTTTATTTTTAAGCCGTTAATGGCATGATCAAGTTGAACCCGTTTTCTCGTTAACACCAAAACCCTCAGATCCATTGCCATAAGATTTGTCCCTGATGGTACCCCAAATTTACTGCCTCCATCTATAAATGCTTCTAACTAAGTTGCACTTTTTTTCTACCCTCATTGTAGTACACTTTTTCACTCTGTAAGTCCTCAACTTGGTTTGTGAAGCTTTCAGAAATATCACCTCTAGGAGGTAGGAGATGGATGTTTCGAGAAAAATGTTAGAGCCTAAAGGACACGATAATGGAAACACTAATGGACGTCGCAGTGATACTTAACTGTGAACATCACCCTGCACTCAGTGTGGGTCTGTGTGTAAGTAGGATTGTGGGTTCCAGCGTTCAGCAAAGTATAAGCACATGTTTTAGGTGAAACACAATTCTGTTACTATTCAGGAAAACGCTTCAAGTGTGAACAAAATGACACGTTTTGCTTAGGGACCATAATGAGCAACTTGGGATCTGTGCTTCTTAAAGTACTTGTGTCTGTCAGTAAGAACTGTATTTCCATTGGTTCAATCTAGACATGGTATAAATGATTTGAGAGCTGAACAGAAGACACCAATAGATGCCTTTGTATTTTACCAAGTAGGTTAATTAGTTGACTGAATGTATTTTTGTACATTAGGAAGGAGGCTTGTTTTGTATGATCCACATTTCCTTAAGAAAACATACAAGCAATTTTACAAAGGGAGAATTTTCTCTCTCCCCACTGTTACCAATTTATCAAAAAGAGGTGGGAAGTTTTTTCCTCCACTTCTGAATGGAGAGTTATATTTGTGTTACCTGGCTTCAGTGGAGGTGGAGGAATGCAAGCAGTGTCTGCACTGCAGTATAGGAGTCCAACTTTGCTATTATTTGGTAGCTACCATGTGCTTTTGTATTCACTTCTCCCTTTTGGCTAAGATGAACAAACAGACAATCACAATGATTATTAGTGTTTATTGATTATACTCTAATAAAACAGGGTCTGAGTTATCTGTGTTCAAGACTCACATATTGTATTGATTGTTTTGGTTTTCCATTGGGAAAATACAAGTGTTAGAAGTCTTCAGAGACATTAATTTAAATTGATTTTGTTTACTCACTAATTAATGATGATTCAAAGAACTGGAGAAACTACTTGTAATTTATAAATGCAGCTATAATAAGGCTGTCTTGTCAGCTACTTCAGAGGGAGACAAATAGATAGACTGAAATATCATCAGCTCTTTTCTGCTGTAGCTCAAATGATAAAGATTTTTTTTTCAATTTAATGCGGTAGTAACTTTTATTAGTGTGCCACCTTAATTGCAGTTTTGGATCGTCTTGAACACATATAACATGTTTTAAAAAATGGATATTTTTGGATGAGTAGGCAATTGGAATTGAATTATTTTTAACACTGACTTTCAAATTGCAATGTACATTGTTGAAAGAGGAACTATTTACTTTGTTGAAAGAGGAGCTAGCTTTGCTAGCTTATTTATAAAATACTAAGATTATATCATCTCTTGGATAAATAGTTGAATTTGTTACTTTGTATTATCAATCTTATTTTTGCTGTTGGGACCCTCATTATTGCATTGAAAGGGGAATAATTGTAATCAAATGTCAACTCTGGTCCCGTTCATTGTTTTAGAAACTTTGAATAATTCGTTCCGTCTTCTTTACTTCATTTGTTAATTCCCCAAATGTATCGAAGAACTCCTCCATCTCCCGCTGGAGCATTTCATTTCTTTTCTCTGCATCTTCCCTGGCTCTCTCTGCATTTCGCATTTTAATCTCCACCAGGCTGTACCACTTCCGTTGCTGCCTGAGTTTTGAATGAAGATCCTTAATCTCCAACTGCAGCTCTTTGTTCCGCTGCTCCAAGCTGTTTGAAAGACGGACATTGTAATTTAGAGTACTCTTTTCCTGTCTCTCTTTCCTGATAAAGCCATTTTTTAAAACCAGTTTTCAGCACGTGGTACTATAAATAGAAGTACGTGGAGAGGCACTTGGTGTCCCCAAAGAAGGCTGTGTTATATCACCCTTCAATGCCTTGCTAATGTTCTTTCCCATGTGGACAGGTCATCGTTCTCATGATCTATCCCGTTTCTGCGGCCCAGGGCATTAATATTCTGCTAACAAGTTGTGTGTCCGGTTCATTTTGAAAGATAAATGACATTCTCACTTTTGTATTCTAATCCTTGTATGTCCTGAAGAGTGACATAAAAAGCACTCTCATACATCATCAACATGAGCGGC